TTTCTCTGGCCACACTGGCGGGTCCTTCTTACCTTCTCCCCTTTGGAAGAGCTCACCCTGGACACCCACGTACCTACACCCAGATGGACACACCCCTCCCCTTCTGGCTCACCCTTCCAGGGTTGGGGAGACAAAGGCATAAACATTATTTCTAAGGAATCTCCACCCAGAAACAGTCTCTTCCTGGCCCTCTGCCCAACTCCCACGTTAGAACAATGACAAATAGAAGGGGAAATGGAAAGTAAACAGGAGAGAGAAATAGCGTTTGTGGACAGGGTTTGGCCTACCGGTTGTGTATATGGATAGGCACGCAAAGTATTGGCATGTGCCGTGTGCATGTGTGCGTGTGCACGTGTGCGATGTGCGTGTGCAATGTATGTGTCTGCGTGTGTTTACGGAGAAGAGCATGAAAGGGAATGTAGCTCTCGTCCTCCCCACCGCCCATGGATTAACCTCTTAATCCAGGGCTAGGCCCTCAGGTCACTGCCATTTGTAAAAATATGAAACATCCACAAACACAGAACACTCACGTCAGCAGAGGGCAGACGTGAAATTCTCAAAAGACAATTTTTTATAAACAAAATGTGGCGTGGACAGCCCTACACGCTGTCCAAAGTCGTCTGGCTCGGGCAGGGAGGGAGGGAGGCCAGCATCGGTCTGAGTGGGGCTTCGGAACTGAGCCGCCGGCTCTGACACGGATGTCAGCTCCATGCAATCCGTATCAAGGAGTCCAGTGGCTTTGACAGGACACAAACCGGACTTCTGGCTCCCTGATGATGCTACTCTTTTATTCAATCCAGTTCGATTACAGTTTGAAAGACGCCCTGAGCCCCATGGAGACACGGAAAGGAATGACGGACACTCCCTGCTCAGGGCCTCACGTTTGAGCTTTGGCTCCCCTGGGAGGGCCGGCATTATCCCCACTTTGGAGATAGGGAAGGGGGTCCCGGGACTTGTGAGGTAATCTGGGGTCCGTAGAGACTAGAACGAGAACTCAGGTCTTGTGACCCCCAGGCCATTTCTCCCAGGCAGGGGCTGGGCAGCCGCTCTGGAGTCTGGGCCTTTGGCTAGTGCCCCAGCTCGGCCACTTCCCGGCTGAGGACCCAGCCATGCCACCTCACTGCTCATATGGAAACAGCACATTGGAAACCTGCGATTACCTGACGTGGTGTCCATGCAGCACCACCCCCGGGCCTGGCAGCCTGCAGGCCCCTTACAGAGGGCCCACCCTACCTCCCATTCACTCGCCTTGCCGCCTGTGCAGCTGTTTTCCAGCTCTGAACCCCTGTGCTGAGTCCACCTTAGCAGGAGGTGGGAGGTGCGCCAAGGGCTGGGGGCTCAAGCCAGTAAACACCCCCTCTCACCCTCCCCCAGATCTGACCAATCTGATGGCCACATCCCGGAAATATGAAGAACTGTTATGGGCGTGGAAGAGCTGGCGAGACAAGGTGGGAAGATCCATCCTCCCCTTTTTCCCCAAATATGTGGAACTCTCCAACAAGGCTGCCCGGCTCAATGGTGAGTCCCTCCTACCAATATCACTGGCTTTCTGGGGCCCTGAGAGAGGTCCTCGGAGACCCTAAGCCCGATGAGACGAAGGTCCCTGAGGAGGTGGCGGCGGCAGGGGTGCTCGGGATGGTCAGGTGTCGGAGAGCCTGGCTCTGTCCCCTCTGCAGGCTATGCAGACACAGGGGACTCGTGGAGATCTATGTACGAGATGCCAACTCTGGAGCAAGAACTGGAGCGTCTCTTCCAGGAGCTGCAGCCGCTCTACCTGAACCTGCACGCCTACGTGCGCCGGGCGCT